GGTCGGAGGTAAATAGGATGAAATTCCAGGACAAATGCAAAGTGCCCCACGGAGAAAGGAACAATCCGTTTTGCGCAGGCCGAATGGGAAGCGACTGTCTAGGAAGGGAAGGGACCCAGGGGTCCGAGCGGACCGCAAGCTACATCCAAGTCAGCCATGTGACGCGGGTGCAAAAAAGGCCAATGTCTGGGGGAGATCTCTCAGCAGGAGTGTCGTGAGCAAGGCGCGAGGTGTTGTTCTTCCCCTCGGCTGGGGGCGGATCAGGCCTCGACTGGAGCATTGCGGCCAGTTCTGGGCACCACATTTCAGGAGAGATGTGGAGAAACTGGAGAGAGTCCAGAGAAGAGCAACACAAATGATGAAAGGTCTAGAGAACAGGAGAGGAGACTGAAAAACAATGGGTTTATTGGGTCTGGAGAAAGCAGAGCGAGGACGTGGTAGTAGTAGCTTTTCAGCACCTAAAAGGGTGTCACAAGTAGGAGGGAGAAAAATTGCTCTCCTTGGCCTCTGAGGATAAGACAAAAAGCACGGGGCTTAAACGGAAGCAAGAGGGGGGTTGAGGTTGGACATTAGGAAAAAAACTTCCTGTCGGGCTGGTTAAACACTGGAATAAATTGCGCAGGGAGTGGTGGAATCTCCTTCGCTGGGGGTATTTGGACAGACGCCTGTCAGGGACGGCCCAGATAATATTTTGTCCTGCCAGGAGCGCAGGAGACAGGACGAGGTGGCCTCTGGAGGTCCTTTCCGGTCCTCTGAGCCTAGGATTCACCGGAATATCCAGCCGTCTGTGCCCAAATCGAACTTCACATCGCACCAGAGTGGCACTGATGCATTCATCTGGAGCCTCGCCGCCCCCCTCCCTCCAGCAGCACCGCCCTGGCCCCAGCACCCTGCCATCCACACTAGCACCCAGCAGCACCCTGTTCCTTGTCCCAGCACCCTGCCAGTCACCCTAGTGCCCAGCAGGACCATGTCCCTGACCCCAGCACCCTGCCACCTGCCTGTCCCAGCACCTTGCCCCAGCACCCTGCCACCTGAGCCAGCATCCTTCCACCCAGCAGCACCCTCTCCCCAGCACCCACTAGCACTCTGTCCCTTACCCCCACCAGCACATTTGGGACCACATTAGTGAGGCTTGGGGGTTTTTGGAGGAGCTTTTTTTTGGTTTTTTGCATCTCACTTGTGTGGCCCCAACTGACTTTTCTGTGGATCAGTGACCTTTGACTCAAAACAGGTTCCTCACCCCTCTCATATATAAAGACATTGCTAAAACCTTTTGAGTATGACATCATATTTTATTTAAAAATGAAGCCTGGCCAACAAGCCCCCAATTGGGGCCAAACCCCCATCTCACTGCAGCATCATAACACTCCTGCACCACCTGACCCCAAAGCTGAGCCTATCATACACTGGAACCCCCATCCTGAGCCTCTTACCTCCCTGCACTCCTGCACCCCCACACCCCCAGTCTTCCGCCACAACACTCCTCCACCATCCACACACCACAAATCTGTGTCCTGAGCCCATCATACTCACAGCCTCCTTGCGCTGAGCCCCTCACATACCCAGCCCAAACCCCTCACCCTCACATCCACAAGCCCTGGCTTGCTCAGCACCCCAACCTTCCACCTGAACCCAACACTCCCCAGCCTAGAGCCCCCTCCCTGAGTCAACAGCCCCGTCTCCTGCATCCAAATTCCCTCCCAGAGCTTGTACTTCTCACCCCTTCCCACACCCAAATCCCTCATTCCCACCCCACATCTCACGCACTAGGTTGAGACGGGTATAAGGGCTGGGGAGAGCAAGTGATGGAGAGGAGGGAAACAGAGCGGATGAGGGCTCACAGCAGGGAGGTGGGGGGGGCTTGG